AATAAAAACAAGAAGCTGTGACAGTGTGACCAACCTGAACTGTTTTAAGACACAATGAAACACATAAATACTTTGAATTGGATTGATATTAAAAGTTTAATCAGCTGTAGACATATCTACATCCAAAAATTATTATCTGAAAGTTTAGTAAAAATCTGTATGGTGCACAAGAGATTTTGCTAACTAAAAAACTCGTCCAGACATGGAAGAAAACATAATTTATTACCTTTTGGATGCAGATGATAAATAGTGACTCACAATTAGCAATAATCATGCAGCTCTACATGTGCAACACATCCCTTTAACCCTGACTTTATTGAGCTGAGTCATTTGAGCAAGGAAAACTTTACAGCAGAAATTAAACACATTATGTTGTAAAACACACACGTAGGTATTAGATTCATTAAGTCATTTTTATGCTTTTCAAGTTTTTTTGTTATTACATGCAACTCAAGTTTTTAAGTAAATTTATTTCCTGTCAGATTTTTAGATTTTCGTTTGTAAAAAGTTACATGTTTACATTGTAAAGCTCTACTCATTGAATCCACTGTAGTTTTCATGCCAGGTCACTAGGTGGCGCTGTTATTTCTGCATGTCAACAACATGCATAGACACTTCATTCTCAACCAATAAAAGCCATGCATGAATCTTTATTTGGACTGAGGATGAGGTTGTGTTACTCCTACACGTTAAAAAGCGTGAGCAGCACAAACATACTGCTGTCCACCAATGTTACTGTTGTTCATCTACTCGCCCAGAAAAACTCTTAACTTCAGCTGCCCAAAGTACACGTGTGACTTCATGTTGTCTGTCGTTAGAGCTGGGCGGTATGACCCAAATTTTATATCACGGTATTTTCAACAGTTACACCGGTTTCACGGTATTTGATGGTATTTTTTTCCATCACAGCTCAGCTGAAAATAAAATGTACAAATGTTGCTTATTGACTTTTTTCTTTTACTCTACCTCTGTGTGTGTTTCCCTCCTCTTGTACGTCTTTTCTTCTTTGCCTGGTTGTAGACAGTAATCATGCATTTTGGTCCGATCGTGAAGGGTTGAGAAAAAAATCATTATCGGGTCCATCGTTGCGTGTTAATAAAACTTAACAGGCCGACTCACCTTGCACACCAGTCAACTCAGCTCTACTACAAAACTACTTCCTTTTCACAATAGAAGCACATTAAAGTTCACATGCATTAACGTCTCCATTGTAACGTCGTGCGTTAAATCTAACCGTGCACGTCACTGAAGATGTATTTACTACATTCAGCGATGGTAAAAACGGGATGTTTTTTTAACTTCAGTCAATATAAGCACCTGAAACACCACCTGCCGCCAGTGACTCTAACAAGCTGCTCCAACAATAACATTAGCATGCTTCTGCACATAATGGTGCTGCGAGGAAAAGTGTCCCCCAGGAAACAGTTCACTGGCAGCTGCGACAAAATGTTCCGAACGTATTCAGGCTACTTAAATCTGTATGTTTGGTATTCAGAAAACTCATATCATAACAAAAATTTAAACTGGTTTTCGGTACAAAACTGTATACTGCCCAGCACTATCTGCCATTTCCCTTGAAATGGAAACGACGCTAAGACCTGGTTTCAAAAAGCTTTGGTATCAGAGAAAACAACTACTGCTGTCATGTGCATGAACAGCCGAAATATAACTAAAATGCTATGGGCCTCAGGAGATAATTAGTGGCTACACTAATTAGTACAGCTACTTTACTATGTTTCATTATAAACCAATTATCATGGGTCTGGCTGTTTTTGTTATTATTATTATTATTATTTATTTTTTTATTTTAACATACTGATGTCAATCCTGTTCTGGACTGAAAAGCTAACGTAGGGTGCAGAATAATTTCTATTACTTTGTGCCAGTGAAATATGTAGAACAGTAAAGAACGAGTCTCGTGACGTCCTCGTAGGGTTCATAAGCGCTCATCGAGCCAGAAAAAAAAGTGGTTTTCACTCCATTAGGGGATTCAAATTCCCTTTGGAATCTGTCGGCAGTTTGACACATTCAGTCTGTGCTTTTCAGTCATTCAGCACACTCTGTTACTAAACATACAGGGCAGTAGTAATCAAAAACACAAAAGTGATGTAATTTCTTCTGTTCAGGTGAGTCTGATGAGATTGCTAATAGCATTATTATAAAACTTTAAGAAAGCCTCTAACATTTGATTTTGTTCTGCTGAGGTTTTCTTCTCTGAACTGAAACAAAAAAAATTAACCATAAAGGGTTATGAGAACCAGAAAGTGTCATCGCAAAACTTTGTACTGAGAAACACAAACGGTGTCTATAAAAATGTATTTCACTTGTTTTGAATAGAATGGTCTTTCTGTTTATTGTGTTTCTGACATTTACCATAAGAAACTGTTGTTCTGGGTGTCTGTGTGTTCGACGTTTGTTGATCATCGCCTTCGACAGAACAAGTACTCACTGGTGTTCTTGGCTAATCAAATGAAATTTTCTTTTCAGGTCGTAACAAATGATACTCATCCTGTGGAATGTTGGTACTCCACCAGTGAAACTGCTTCGGTTTATTGTTCGTTTGGTCTCGCTGCCAGTAAAGGAATATAAATCCTTAAACATCACAAGTCCTGGGTTTTGCTGAAACTCAAACGGTCATGTTGTAAAACGAGATCAAACTCCTGATTGAATCTGCTCTGTCACTAAGACTTACTCGGATTTAAAGCTTTAAACTTTAAGAAGTAATATCTTAGAGTTCAGGTGGAAGAAAATATATTGTTGAACTTTAAGGAAGAACAGATGAATAGATAAGTAATGTTTGTGTTTGGGAGACTGTGTACCCATTGAAACAACTATCTGATGAAACTATAAATGGACTGTCTGATTGGTATTTAAAAACAAAATATCAGTACAAATATGGACCAAGGAACTGTTTACACTTCAGCTACCTGACCGAAAATAATTTGCAGGTTGAGAAAAACGTTTTCACTCGTGATGTGTTTCGGCAGGGAAGGGTGTGTGCAGTATTGTTTTCTTTTTTTAGAGAAGGAAATCCTGAAGTCGGCTTCAAACTTGGCAATAAAGAAAGAACCAGTTGTGTGTAAACGCTCTCATTCTTTAAGGACCATCTGCAGTCGTGCTTTTAGAATTAAGTTCCTCTTTTTGTTGTTTTTGTTGTAAACCAGGTAAAGAAAAGAGTTTGCCTGATTTGCTCCTTTTCTGAAAGGAACAAGATTTTTATTACGGTGTTAAACTTTGAGTCTTTGTTTTGCGTGACTTCAGCAGATTATCTAACAATACGCATTAATAGATTAATTTGGCGACATTATGTTACTTGTGTTTATTTTTACAAGAGCTGACTGACAGTTTTCCATAATATCGTTAAGGTTTATTATTTCTGTTGCTCACAGTTGATGTTTTTGCTTTTCAAAAAAGACTCTCTAAGCCTCCCTGGCTTACTCTCTCCTCTGCAAATACTCAGCTAATTTTACTGTTATTTTACAAAGAAGAAGTAGACACATGATATAACGCAGCATAGCAGATCCCTGTGTTCCTCTAACAGGAACTGCTGAGCAGTGTTTATGTCCTGAGATCACAGGAGAAACAGTAAGCAGAGTTGTCAAATTTATAATTGTCAACATTGTCAGCAGAAAAGGTTGAGTGTCCAGAAAAGGGCAAAAAATGAACATTTTCCATGAGTTGGAGTATGAACATCTGAGTCTGATTAAACACGAATCTGTAAAGGGATTGAGCACTTCATTAAACTGCCTCAAGACAATTCAGATTAAATATTTCTACTGAAGTGCAACTTAAGCTATTTTTATCCCAGGATCATAGATAATAAATTCCCTCTGTCTAAACCTTTCCTAATATTAGCTGGCACCTGATAGGATAGCAGTTTGGCAAAATGTGCAGAACAGGTTTCAACAATCCACAGCGTAAGATGGTGTTGCTGTGCTAAAAAAAACAACCACCTCAGAGTGTGTTTGCTGTAGATGGCTGGATTTGAGTGGGCGATACTCTCCTGAGGGATATTCCCTGTTCGAGCTCCATAATAAGCAGCGACAGCTACCTTAAGTCACCCAGAGCTTCTGCTCAGAAAATTCAGGAACAAAAAGGGACCAGAGATAAAGGCCTTACATGCAACGCACCGCATCGCAGCAGGCAGCGTGTTTTTATTGTTCTGGAAAAGATCTGCTTCAATTTGCCTGTTTTGTTTTGACAGCTTCACCTATTTGTTTTATCCTCAGTTCCACTGAAAGTTAAACAATAATGTGAGCAAAAACTGTTTGATTACTTTTTCTACAAAGAAATTTGAAGAGAAAAATGGTAGCAAAAAGACGAGACTAAATGGATGGTGATTATCGCTGTGTTCTTCTTTTATGTGATAAAATTACAGTAGAAAGGAAAATGGGGTGGATCTGAGCAGGCTTATAATGTTGGAGGTGGTTCTGCAGGCTTGATCCAAAAGAGTTCTTGTAAAGGGAAAGTGGATGTGGTTCCAGTCAGGAGGGCATCATCTCTGTAAATCACAGGATCTCTATAATATCCTGTCATCTCTGCCTCTGCTTGTTTTCTTATGGTGTAACTTCTTATCTCTGCGGCATCATTTTTTAGCTGTTATTTTAAGAGATGGCCTAACAGTAAGTTACTTTGTGCAGCTTCCGTCTCCTCTGGAGCCTGCATTCTGAAAAGTGGTGATAATAAATTCATAGTGACAGTCTTTTTTGATAGAAAAACTTGCCTAATTTACAAGAGTTAAGTGAAAATACATAGTTAAAACAGTAAAATAATGTGAAACTGAGCTGTTAAAGATAAAAGAAGCAGAACACTAGCTTAAAGCCAAACATTTCAAAATCCTAGCTTAAAGTAGCAAAAGGCTTGTTAAATCTAAAATTAGCAAAGGCTATCTAAAAGTAGAAAAACGCTAGCTACAAGTAGCATAAAAATTCTTAACAAAACAAGTAACCACACCCTAATGAAGACCCGTATTTTTACAGCGTTTTTCTGTTTCTTTACAGGATGGGCGACAGCGTAAAGAAAGAAAGAAGACCGTGTCATTCAGCAGCATGCCCACGGAGAAGAAGATCAGCCGTGCCAGCGACTGCATCAGCGCAATGGTTGATGGCACTGAGCTGAAAAAAGTGCGATCCAACTCCCGTGTTTATCACCGGTACTTTCTCCTCGATGCTGACATGCAGTCTTTAAGGTGGGAGCCAACAAAGAAGGAATCTGAAAAGGCAAAAATTGACGTGAAGTCCATCAAAGAAGTTCGGACGGGCAAAAATACAGACACTTTTAGAACTAACGGCACCTATGATCAGATATCTGAGGACTGTGCTTTTTCAGTCATCTTTGGAGAGAATTATGAATCCCTGGACTTGGTGGCAAACACAGCAGATGTAGCCAACATTTGGGTAACAGGACTGAGGTACCTGATCTCCTACGGTAAACACACCTTAAACATGATCGAGAGCAGTCAGAACAACTTGCGCTCGTCTTGGCTAAGTGACTTCTTTGATGAGGAAGATGAGAACAACAGCAAACAAATAGCAATATGTGCTGCTGTGCAGCTTATTAAGAAGCTAAACTCTGGACTTAAAAACATGAAAATAGAACTAAAGTTCAAAGAGCTTCACAAAGCTAAGGACAAAATCTGTTCCGATGTGACAAAAGAGGAGTTTATTGAAGTTTTTCATGATCTTTGCACCAGACCAGAAATTTATTTTCTCTTTGTTCAGTTCTCCAGTAACAAAGAATTTCTTGATAGCAAGGACTTGATGATATTTCTGGAGGCCGAGCAAGGAATGGCACAAGTGAGTGAAAACACCAGCTTAGACATCATTCAGAAGTATGAGCCGTCCAAAGAGGGGCAGCTCAAGGGTTGGCTTTCCCTCGACGGGTTCTCCAACTATCTCATGTCTCCAGAGTGCCACATATTTGACCCTGAGCAAAAATCAGTTTGTCAAGACATGAACCAGCCTGTGACTCACTACTACATCAACGCATCCCACAACACATACCTGATAGAGGATCAGTTTCGAGGTCCGTCTGATGTGACGGGCTACATTCGTGCCCTTAAGATGGGTTGTCGTTGTGTAGAGTTGGACGTCTGGGACGGACCTGATAATGAACCTGTTATTTATACCGGCCATACAATGACCTCGCAGATCGTCTTTAGAAGTGTCATTGACGTCATCAACAAGTATGCCTTTGTTGCTTCAGAGTTTCCACTGATACTGTGTTTAGAAAACCATTGCTCCTTAAAGCAGCAGAAAGTCATGTTTCAGCACCTGAAGAAGATCCTTGGAGACAAGATCCACGTGGATCCCCCCAAACCAGAGGACTGTTACCTCCCTTCCCCCTCTGAGCTGAAGGGAAAGATCCTCCTGAAGGGGAAGAAATTGGACACAACCTGCACCTCCTCAGAAGGCGAGGTGACTGATGAGGACGAGGGGGCCGAGATGTCCCAAAGGATGAGCATTGATTCTACAGAACAACAGACCACCATGCACAAAAAATTCCAGCTGCTTAAGGACCTTTCTGATCTGGTGACGTTATGCAAGTCTGTGGAGTTCAAAGACTTTCCAACATCCTTCCAGAACCAGAAGCCCTGGGAGCTCTGCTCGTTCAACGAGGTGTTTGCCACTCGCTGTGCCTGTGACTTCCCCGGTGACTTTGTTAACTACAACAAGAAGTTCCTTGCAAGGGTTTATCCAAGTCCAATGCGGATTGACTCCAGCAACATGAATCCACAAGATTTCTGGAAGTGCGGCTGCCAGATTGTAGCAATGAACTACCAGACTCCCGGCCTGATGATGGACTTAAACATCGGTTGGTTCCGTCAGAATGGCAACTGTGGCTATGTGCTTCGTCCAGCCATCATGAGGGAGCAGGTCTCTTATTTCAGTGCCAACACAAAAGATTCAGTGCCTGGTGTTTCTCCTCAGCTACTGCACATCAAAATAATTAGTGGGCAAAATTTCCCCAAACCCAAAGGCTCAGGTGCCAAAGGAGACGTGCTGGACCCCTACGTGTACGTGGAAATACACGGTATTCCTGCCGACTGCGCCGAACAGAGGACTAAAACGGTCCACCAAAACGGGGACAACCCTCTGTTTGACGAGAGCTTTGAGTTTCAGATCAACCTCCCCGAGCTCGCCATGGTGCGCTTTGTGGTACTCGATGACGACTACATCGGCGACGAATTTATTGGCCAGTACACGATCCCCTTCGAGTGTCTGCAGCCTGGTTTCCGCCACGTGCCTCTGCAGTCCCTGACAGGAGAAGTTCTGCCACATACTTTGTTGTTTGTCCATGTAGCCATAACCAACCGAAGAGGAGGTGGAAAACCACACAAACGGGGACTGTCAGTACGAAAAGGCAAAAAGAGCAGAGAGTACGCCAGTATGAGACTTCTACAGATTAAGACTGTTGATGACGTATTTAAAACAGCCCTGCTGCCGCTGAGGGAAGCAACTGACCTCAGAGAAAACATGCAGGTAAGACACTAAACTATCTACCAATTAATTAACTTATCATCCTGCTGAGCTCAGGTGAGTGTAAACATTTGAATACAAATGTTACAGATTTGAAGTAAAACTCAAACACTGGCACTTTAGGACCACATGTCCCCCAACGTTTTAAACTGATTCAGAGTAACTTGATGTTTCCTTTAAATTCATGTCTTTATCCTGTTGTATTTGTTGAGTTTTATTTGTCAGGAACAGTAAAATCCTCAACATAAAACCCAAAATTTGTTTTCTCTTTTGACACAAACAGTGCAACAAAAAACAAAGAATAAAGTTGGGTACAAATTAGAGATGCACGATATATTGGCATTAATATCAGTATTGGCCAATATTAGTCATTTTTTAGAATATTGGTATCGATAAACTGGGCCGATATTAACGTCCGATATTGATTTCCAACTTTTTATCTTTGTGTTTCTGTTTTGGGAGAGGAGTTGTTTGGCTGAGCAGCATCTGTTTGATCATGATAGTGATGCTGTGCAGCCAGGAATAACTGAAGTAGAGCCATGTCAGAGGTCTGGTTGTTTATTCACAGTATCAAAAAAGACACAAGTGTGTTTGTGTAATATCGGTAAACATCGGTTATCGGGCATAGCAGCAATAATTGTATCTATCGGCTGAAATGTTCATATCGGTGCATCCCTAGTACAAATATGTGATCAAAACTCCTTGTTGGAATTTAGTCATCAATCTTGACTCAGTTTTGAGTATTTAAAACCGATAACTTTACAATTTTAAACCCTCATTTTAATAAACGTTTGGATAAATTGGAAAAAGTTCAGATCACAAAAGAAACTACACACCTACATCATATTTGTAATCTTTTACATAACGTACACTTATAACACTAAGAGGAAAATAAAACCGTAGCTCATAGCACATCGGTTGGCATCACATTGTTTCTTCAGGCCTTGCATTAGGGTTTATTTTGGTACTCCTGTTTATATTGCCGTCTTTGTGACATAACAAGCTTGTAGCCTTGAGACTATAACAAATCGTGATCGCACAGTCACAGTTTGTCCCTACGGTTGTTTATGTTGGGTTTAAATTTGTCCTTTCACAGGAAGTTTAGGATTTGTGGGTGCATGTTTCATTTCCACTCGATGCTTGTGTCAGTTCACAAAGGATGGAGTGCTTGTGAGCAGCTAACATGTGCCAAAATGAAAGTTCTCACAGGCAAAGACGGCTTCCAGCCACTTCCTGTGTGAGCGAGCTGATCTCTGGAGGTCTAGTTATACGTTTTTGCTGCTCACTGATCATTTCAGGTAGTAAGGATAAGACATTTCTGTATCTTTTTGTGGACTTGTGTATCCTGTTTTGCTTGGTATTGTTGTATAAACCAGTTGACCTTCATGTGAGCGTATCTGTAATGTCTCCCCTCTCTGCAGAATGCCATAGTGTCCTTTAAAGAGCTCTGCGGCCTTTCAGCGGTGGCGAACCTGAAGCAGTGCATCTTGGCTCTTTCCCCGCGGCTGACAGGACCTGACAACAGCCCCCTGCTGGTGTTTAACCTCAATGACCAGTACCCCAACCTGGAGCCCCAGGGCCCGCTGCCGGAGGTCCTGAAGAAGGTCATCAGCACCTATGAGATGGTGAGATTGAGTTTTGTTGTTGTTCTTTCTGCAGGCATCAGCTCACAGAAAATGCCTAACCACACCACGTTGTTTATAAAGCACTTAAAAACCAGAACGCTGCATATCAAAGTGCTGTACAGTAAAATAAACATGATAAAACACAGTCCTCTCACATTAGATTGAAGGCTGCAGAGTAAGTGTGTTTTTAAAACAACATTTAAAAACAAAGTGAGGAAGCCTGCCTAACACACCGTGACAAACCCTTCCAGTTTGGGACCTGGAACAGAAAACGCTCCAGCAGCTCTGAGCTCGCTGGCGTCCCATTAAAACCATCTGATCTGCTGACCTCAGAGCACGGAGGTACAGCTGCAGCAGTGAGATCAATCTCTCATTATGACTGTTTGTTCATGTGCCATCTTTCCAATAAATAAATCGATTCACCCCAGAAAACTAGCTCTGACTTCGATTAGATCAATACCGTGACTTTACTTAATGTAACAGTGACACGCAGAGACGGTTAGGTAAGAGGGCCGGAACTCTGTTAAGTAATTAAATCAATGTTCACAAGTTATGCAACTAAGGTTATTCCACAAAATCATTTCATCTAAAACATCATATTCTGGTTTTTAATGCTAGCAGGTTCTAGCTTTAGCAGCCATTGGTTACCCTTCATCCCCTTCAGTTTAGAATAGGGATGCATGAGAACTTATTTTAAGAACCGATACCGATAACCGATAACTTTCTCCTTCTAATGGCCGATAACCGATAAAAACCGATAACCTGCCAGGAGATGAGACGAGTCAAAATGGGTAGGATCATAACATAAATTAACAAGACCAAAGAAAATGACACTGTCAGTTATACTATTAGAAATAAACTCTTGGCAAACAAACATTTCTTAAAATATATCAAACAAAACAATTTCTCAAATGGCCATTTTTAAAAAAAAGGCACATTAATGGTAAAAAAACCTTTAACACTGATCTCAGATTTAAACTTGTACAAAGAGAAAAAGTCGTTCCACAAGTTCAAAACAGATAATGCACAAACACAGGTTAGATTCAAAGTACATTTGTTTTTATTATTATTAATATATTATAAACAGTGCTTCTTGTGAATTCATTACAACCACATCATACTTACAGGCAGACACACACAGAGAGGCAGCAGCTCAGCAGGGTAAACTGTGGCCAACAAGGAGATAAAAGTTTTGGTTTTTAGCGAGGGTGAACGGCTGCTTGTCATCATTTCCATCGTTAAATTGCTTGAGATCTGCGTCCTCTCTGCCAATATGTTTGGATTTGTCAAAAGCCTCAGAAATGATTTAAGTCCCGATGAGTTCTTGAGTGCTAGCTTGTTGTTGTTAGCATTTTAGCAGAACGGACTTTGTGCTGCGTTCAGGAGGTAACAGACTTTACATGTTCTCAGATTGGGAGTAGTTGTTCCGACCTTTTTATGTTTATAATTATAAAGTTTGTGTGTAACATACAGTGTTAATTGGTAAAATAATATTAATAATTCTTAAAATAACTGATTATTTTTCAGCACGGAGTATTCTAATTATTTTTCTAGTGAGAAAGTAGTTTTTTCCGACGCAACTTGAACGTTGCTCAGGTCGTGCCGGATGGGAAGCGGCTAAGGAGCACACTCACCACCGCGCTGGCAAACATGAACATATATTATCAATTCTGTTTGTTATGATATCGGACCGATAAGTATGATGTCAGAATTCCCTGATATCAGGCCGATAACTATCGTGCACCCCTAGTTTAGAATCTAGATTATAATTTGCATGATCCAGTCACATCTTTGATCCTCTCTGGTTTCAGCTTCCATCACAAACTGTTTACAAGTTAAATTCGAAGCGGAGTACCACCAGTGAAGGGATGAAACCACTGTATTCAGTTTCAGTGGCAGTTAGCTCACATGGAGATGAGTGGCTAACAAAATATTCATACGTAGAAAAACATGTTAAAAAGGTAAACAAACATAACTAATGAGCCACCGGTCAGTGCTAGTTCAGTTTGTTTTAATTAGTAGCTAAGACCTGTACTGTACTTTTTACATGCAGAATTGTATCATTAAGCTAACATCAGCCAGGAATAGGAGTATTTGAGTCTTTGTTACATGCAAGTAATTACGATAATGGAAGTAACCATAGCACTTAAGGGTAGTTTTTATTGTACCAATCCAGCACCGTCTACCCATTTGTCTGCCACCAAGACAGCAATTTCTTCTCCCATCATGAAGGTAATCACAGCATGTAAGACAGCTTTTAGTGCTGCGACTGCAGCTGCAGAGTGACATTAACAACTACAGCCACTTACTCATTACTGCTCACAGAAGAACACGCTGATTCACTTGTCGGGTTTGTGCAACTGTCCGTCCCAAACGCAGCAACTAAAACAGAGCAGATGAGTTTTGGTTTGTCGAGGACAGGTGGGGCCTCTTTGCACAACACAAAGTTACACATTTATTTATTTTTTTCTGCACACAGAGTCAATTTAAGAAATTCTGTTTTCCACCCTCTGCTAAGAAGAAGTCAGGTCTAAACTCGAGGTGCTTTGTGCAACAGAGCTACTCCTTATTGTTACTAAATGAGAAGTAAATGGTGTAATGTGTGGTGGACCGTTTGGAGTTGTGGGTTAACTCAGGTTCAGAGGTGTTTAATTACACCTGAGTTCAATAAGTTTACATGTTTCCCTGTCATTGAGCTTCAGTCCTGAACAGATCTGTCACAAGGCTACAGCTTTAATCAGAGGTTTAAATGGACCTGAAGTGAATCATTTAGAGTTTGGACAGACTGGGCTCAGTGTTTTCACAGCACAACAAGGTCAGCACGCTTTCCTTCAGCTCATCTCAGCTGGGAGACTCGTAAACAGAAACACTTCTGCTTTTTATGTTATTATCAGTGCAAGTTGTTCCTGCTGCACACAGCCGTCATCTGTTCTTTAAAACAAGCCTTTGTTTTTATGCACATCTAAACCACCGGCAGTTTCTGCAGAGTCTTAGTCGTGAAAAAATATCGCATTTAAATCTCAATTTTAGAAGATGTATTCTGTTTTAGGACCTAAAATCTGTGAGTCACGTCATAACTTTGTACATTAAGAGGATTTCAGATGTTATGCTTTAACAAAACTATCAGTCCCATCCTGCAGCCAATCTGTTGGAAGGAGTTTTCATTTGAGACGTTCTGGTTGCTCTGCACCGAAAACTGTTTTTATTTTAAATGATTTGGTTCTCATTACAATGAAATTTATTTTACTGGTGTAGGTTTTAAAGTTGAATAATAATGGCCCCTTAAAGCTCTTAAATTTAACGACTACAGCTTGTAGAAACCCTGCCCTCAGTCCATAGCTAACTTACAGAAACTGGTTCAACTTTTTTCCCTCTTCCTGGGTGAGAGGGGAAGGGCTGCGGCAGCAGGGTTGTGACAGATCCTGCAGAAGACAAACTATGTAAGTTATGCTTGATGAGACATGCACAGTTCTCCTATGAAGCAATGATGAATCTTGTGAAACAGGGACCACCGAGCTGTACTCAGTCGTGAGGAATAACGAAGCATCGAAGCAAAAAAAAAAAACCTTCAGATAACTCAAATTTTTTCATCTTTATATATTTAAAAAGCTGCAAACACTAAACCAAAGTTAAAATCAGCAGCATTTCAATCTAAATATCTCAGACGGATCACTGCAGAGGAAGATCCAGATGTTTGCAGCAGCACGTTTATTCAAACAACAGTTTGGTTTCCCTCTCAGTTCAACAGGAGTCTGTTTATCTGCTCCTTGACATATTTAAAAAAAGGAAATTCAAACTGCTTAAACTCGTGCTTTCTGTTTATTGTTGTTAAAACGGATTAAATAAGAGCAGCATGTGGCTGCAGAGCCACTGGTTGTGGAGGAAAACAGCAAAATGTTTAGATTTGTTTCAGAGTTTGTGTATGTGTGGAAGATGTTGTGAGAGTTCTGACAGTCTGCACTCAAACAGCCAAACATTTGCACCAAAGCAGCTAAACTTAGCATCGTTCAAAGCTGCGCCGTCACAGATAACCTGCTAATTATCTGCTGCTAAGTGACATGTTTATGGTTTCATCAGATGACCCCGATAATCAGTGGCTTCTTCTAAAGCCAAGTGGAGGGACGGCCCTTTTTTTATCCCCCACCCTTTAAAAATGAAACTAAGTCACTGCTGGAGGAAAACACAACCTCTAATAAAAACCACAATTGCTTCCGGTTGATTTTCTCTAATTTTAGTTTTCAAAATAAGCATTTAGTGACCTCGCCCTCAGTCATCCCTGTAATAACTGCTTCTTTTTCCAGCCCTTCCTGGAGACATCACCACTTCCTGTTTTATTGTGGAATGCAGCTCCTGCTGATCTTTGGGAGTAAAAAACAAAAGCAACACATTAAAATATTTGTTTTCTCTCAGGTGATCCAGACCAGCAAGACCCTGCTGGAGAGCTCTGAGGGCGTGTATGAGAGGATTCAACAAACTCAGAGAGCAGGTAAAACACACAAAGATGTTTCCTCACACCGTCATCATCCAGCCACTCAGCACCAAGTTCCTCTAAACATGAACCAGACTCACATCTGATTGTTCATGACTCCACATGCAGGTCATGAACACGTTCTGTAACCTCTGATCGTTGCCACACCGATTTCCGTTCAGTTTGACAGGAAGTCTGATAAAATCACAAAAAGGAGAATTAATTATTAGCTTGACGTTACAAATATAAAACATTAGGCTGAATGGTTGGACTGGTCACCCTTCAACCAGGGAGTCAGAGGTTGCCATTATTGTCCCAGAAGTTTCACAACAAAATGAAAGTTTTGGCTGTTTTGACACAAAGCAACCCGTCAAAATAAAAGCCCCAACACATGGCTGTTTAGTGTAATAACTTATGGTTTAGTAGTTTAGTCCGTAGATATACCACGTTGGTTTAATTAGCCTCCTACATCGCAGGACCTGCAGTGTGACACACATACGTGACCCATCATATCAAAATGAGGATTAAGTCAAATTAGGTCAAAATGACCTCATTACATTTTCAGATTCTTGGCTTTAAAAGCTACATTTTGATACCTGGATCATCCTGATATCATGAGTAAACCCATTTAAATGAGTTAATTTTGTCTTGTAGGTTACGATAACACAAATATTCAGTCTTAATCTTAATTTTATGTCATTTTAATGAGGAGTTTTTTATGTCCTTATAAAGAGGAAACCTGAAATTATATTTGAATATTGAGCTTTCCCAGCTGAAAAGAAACAAAACTTTGCTAGCTCACAGGGAAAATCTCAAATTTTAAGGCGTTTTTTTCCTCAAAATCAGTTTTTTTGTTGCTACTGCTCAAAGAAGTGCTTCATCATTTTGTTTTATGATTATATTTCAGACACTTCATTCAAATGATACATTGAAAAGGCTTATAATCATTGTGTTTTGACAAAATGCAAATTTTCAAACTTATTCGAAACACTATATTTGCCTATTTCTCCTTATACCACTTTAGGACTTAATCCTCGTTTCGATGTGATGAGTCACATGATGATGATGATGATGATGATGCTCAGAACTGAAATTATAACTTACAGCTCAGACTTCCTGTCTAGAATAAATTTAAAATCTGAACTGAACATGGACAGTAGCTTCTTGTGTGTGCTCGATTAGCTCTGTGTGTGTGTGTGTGTATGTTCGATTAGCTCTGTGTGTGTGTGTGTGTGTGTTCGATTAGCTCTGTGGGGATTAGCCTGAGTTACAACCACAGAAACTTTAGCTCATTATCTGTAAGTAAGTCTGTGTGCTGGCTGAGGCAGCTATCTTAAAATGACTCAAAATAAAAATAAAAATTCATTAATTACTTTCTGAGAACTTTATTAAACGTCCGGTGGTTCAAGAGAGATTTTACTAACAGGCAGTGTTGACTGAATCAACTGATGTCAGAGTTTTAAAGAAAGATCTTGTGCAGTCTGTAGCCCTCAGAGTCTTTGTTAGGGATGATGCTCAGCTACCACAGCATGTTGTATATCTGGGTCTGTAACTCTTCAAAACATCCAGACAGAGCAGTTTGAACCTTTTTGTTGAAGAAACAAAACCCCACGAAGAACAGTCCGATGTTTGGTTCTGATCCGTCCTCCGGGTTCTTTAGGTTTGTGTTTTTGGTCCTTGTCCTGTTTGAGGACACTTGACCTGCTCAGACCAAACCTGACACTGAGCAGATCGTCTGGAGGTTTCACTGCACCCTGCACAGACTCAGGTGGTCCCTTGTAAGTCCAGGGTTCTGGTTTTTGTCATTTGGTTCTGTGAACAGCTGAGGGGACTTCTCAGTTTTGTTTTTTTTTGATTCTTACAAGGACATTTCACTCTTAGTGATTCATGTCTTCTGTCTGAGACAGACTGGTGTGATCCGACACTGATGACCTTTGACCCTGGAGTTCTGGTTCAGTTCTGTTGTCTCTGTCTCTCTAACTTGTCATCTGTTGTCCTCTTGTGGACGTGTGCAGAGAGGCTTACAGTCGTAAAGAAGCAAACAGACGACTTTAAACAACAGAACCCACGTTGTTTCATCCAGGCTGTTTGAGCCCAGCATCTGTGAAGGTTTGTGTGCACGCCGTGTGGTTTTACAGAAACTGGGTCAGCTCAGACCTGAGTCCCTCCTAAAGACAGCAGACTGTTTGAGCAACAACAACTGTTAAAGTGGTGAATAATCCATCACATTAGCTCCGACAGGCCCTGATGAAACTAAAACACAGTCAGGTGTTACCAGGAGGCTGACACACGACAGGATGTCCCCACAAATACTGATCTGTGCAGAAAATAAAACTGCAGGTTTGATTTCAGCAGAAACCTTCTGGTTGTCTCAGCTGCTGAAACATAAGCTTTATGTTCTTTATGTGGGAAATAAGGACTTGTTGTGGAACTCTGTGCTGTAAATAAATTAAAGACAGTAAATATGTGTGGCAGCTGCACCGCGTCTTATTTCACCTACAAGGTCGCCTTGTTTTTTAAACGTGTTACCTCCACTCCTGTTTGTGTCCCACTCTCACCTCCTGCACTCGTTTCCCAGCTGCTCCGAGATAAAGCTAAAGATAAGTTTATTACAGAAAGAAAAGTAGTTTTCATCAGTTCTCCATCTGCACACAGCAGATCATTCTACCTCCACTCCTGTTTATTAGTCTACATCATGTTGTTATGTAAACATTTGGAACAATATATATA